TCTCCTACATAAGACTGCTCAGCTAGGCCCTCCCTGGTGGCGCAGCAGGTTAAAGCACAGCACTGAGAATCTAAAGTCGCTTCCGCATGAGTTCGATTCCTGCCTGCCCTGGAGGTGACCACATGGTGTGGCAGACCTCTCCTGACCCGCCCGCTGCTCCCCTCAGCAGTGTACTTCCTTGATCTGCCTGTTCTGTTCCCCATTCTGTCTCTGGTGAAGCCTCTCACCGCCCCTGAGCCTCTGGCCTGTACCCCAGTTCTGTATGCACAAATAAGTAAATCTTTAAAAAAAAAAAAAAAAAAAAAGACTGCTCAGCCAGTAGAGATTTTCCCAACAGTACTAACAATTCAGTTCTCAGTAATTGGAATCTTGTTATCCTGGACAAGTGCACTGAATTATATTAACTCTTCCAAATCACATAGAGTAAATTGATAGAAGAGGTGGAGAACAACATTATTTGTTTGAAAACTAGCTGGGTAGACTAATGGTGGTCACTGTGGTTAAGTTTACCCTCCAGAAATGCTGTTTAGGATTCCAGCTACTTCAAACATAGATCAGTGTATTTTGTATTTGGTGAAGACTATCAAATTACAAAACTAAAAAGCGAGATGAGTTAATGCTAGAATGTGTTTTGTTTTGTTTTGTTTTGTTTTAAATAATGTAAAAGTTTATTTTTACAACATTTTGTGCATTTTTTCATCTCAGTTGTAATCCCCTTGGGCTTCCCATCACTAAATCACCCATGTGCCATCACCATAGTCCAGTGCATTTCTCTCCCCCCCTACTGTTTTTGATCCCATTCCATACTCCACCCCCATGAAATGCCTCTGGTTTATAGCTGTTCATTATTATTATTATTATTATTTTCTCACCTGGTCCATTATACTCCTGTAATGAGTGAAACCATATTTTTCTTCCTGGCTTATTTCACTAAGCATGATGTTTTCCAGCTCCATCCATGTTGCTGCAAAAGGCATGTGTTTATTTATTTATTTATTTTTGGTTGCTGAGTAATATAGCATTGTGTGTATATAACACATCTTTTTTCTCCAGTCATCCATTTTTGGGCATTTGGGTTGATTCCATGTGTTTCTTATTGTAAATAAAGCAGCAATAAACGTGGGGGTGCAGGTATCTTTTTGAATCAGTATTTTTGTATTTTGGGTAGATAACTAGGAGTGGGATTGCTGGGTCATATGGAAGCTCCATGTTTAGCACTTTGAGGAAACTCCAAACAGTTTTCCTATTGGTTGTACTAGTTTACATTCCTACCAGCAGTGTACCACATCCTTGCCAGTATCTGTTGTTGCTAGTTGTTTCAAGTTGTGCCATTGCTAGAATGTGTTTTAATGAATGTTAATAAAAAGGTGTGTCTTGGCCTAACATCCAGGAAAGAGTTCTTGTTGACTTAGTTGCTTAATGAACATGGGTTCTTAAGTCAGTTGAGAAAAGCACACTGGCACTGTTTTCTCCAGGAGAATCTAAAGTCTGCATTCATTCTAATTTCTGTGCTGTATATGTTAAACCTGCATATAAATATGCTAGCACCCAAGTATGTATTCCACGCAGCTAAATACACTGTATGCATTTTCTATTTAAAGACTAATCTGCTGAGAAAATATTGATTCTGTTTATAGCTAAACAAATGTTTTCCTTGGAATCCTTATTAAATGAATTATCCTTTTTTCATTAGGCCAATCATATCCTCTTCCTGTCATTGTAGGCTAGCCCTTAAGGAAGGGTAATAACCATTTGCTATCTCAGTGGGTGATAGTGAGGAATAATTTTACTGATCGGTATGAAGTTTTTGGAACATTGTCTGGCACATGACAAATGGCATATAAATGTTTGCTAAATATTATTCTAGAGATGTTGCAGCCACTGTATAGGATGTATCAAATACTAACAAAGGTATCAAAAATTCTTCACAAAAACCATGTTAAAGTAGTTTATTCCTTTTGATATAGAATAAAAATTATCACTTCTAACTGCTTTGTGTTAATTTAAAATGACTATTCAATTTCATATGCCTTATGTAATAAGCCATAAATTGCATTTTAAAAATAAACCCCAGATGGCACTTATCTATTTCTCATAAAAAAGGTCTAGAAAAAGGATACTTATTTAAAATTAAAACCAAAAAAAAAAAAAAACCCACAAAAGTCAGGTTGATGGTTAAGTAGGCAGTTATTTCATGGGTAATTGTTGCCGAGTTCCTTCAATTTCTTAATCATCTCATCCTTTGGCAATAAATTCTAAATTCTTTTGGAAAAAATGACTTTTTAAGTGTTTACTACTGGACTTTTGCTTTCTTTATATCTAACTATTGAGCTAATTTTTTAAATACTGTAACACAAGGTATTGTGTTTTAGATAATGAACATATTCTTTGTGTTTTACATAATGAACATATTCTTTGATTAACAGATTTCAGCAAGCATTTTCCGTAAAGAGCCAGTAGTAACTATTTTGGGCCATCTACAGTTATAAAAAGGACCATACAATCTCTGTCACAACTACTCTGCACTGACCTTATAGTCTGAAAACAACTGTGGACAACAGGGAAATGAATGGACGTGGCTGTGTGCCAATAACATTGTATTTAGGGAAACAGAAAGCTGCAGGATGGATATGGTCCATGGACCACCGTTTGCTGGCCTCTTTTCTTTTTTTTAAAGACTTATTTATTTTTGCATACAAAATCTGAGGTCTAGACCAGAAGTGTGAGAGAGTGAGAGGATCTAGCAGAGATAGACTGGAGAGCAGAACAGGTGGACAGAGTGAAATACACTACTGAGGGGAGCAGTAGGCAAGACAGGAGATGTCTGCTGTGCCATGTGGGTCAGCTCCCTGGCCTGGGGTACCGTCACAGTGCTGGGACTTAACTGTTGCACCACCAAGGAGGCCTGCATTACTTCCACCTTCTTATTTTTGTCAGGGCAAAATATAAATGTCCTATGTAAAATATGCACCAGCGTGCTTAGATTTTTGGCTGCCTGTACTTGAGAACCATGAAGATAAAAGTATAAAAAATGCAAGGAATTTCCAGAAAATAAATAATATAAAGGGGAAAAAATCTAATAATTTGTTCTAGGGAGTCTTTCTATCTGAACAAGTTTCAAAGCTGATCCACCATTTTACATGTGCTGTAAAACCATAATTAAACTTCTTTTAATCAAAACTACCTTTAAAATTTACTTAACTAATCTTTACTTGTATGTACTAAAACATAGCATAAAAATGTTACATAATCCAAATTTGAGACTCACTGAACTGGATTTAAAGGACAAAAAGAGGGCCCTCCTTGGTGGCACAGCAGTTCAAAGCACAGCACTGTGAAGCTAGCCACAGCTACTGCAGCACAAGTTCAATCCCCAACAAGGGAGGTGACCCACATGGTGCGGCAGACTTCACTTGTCTCTCCTACTGCTACCCTCAGCAGTGGACTTCGCTGATCTGCCTGTTCTGCTCCCCATTCTGTTTCTGGTGAATCCTCTCACCGTCCCCGTACCTCTGGCCTATACCCCAGTTCTGTATGCATGAATAAATAAATCTTAAAAAAAAAAAGAAAAACAGATAAGAACCTTTAACTGTTATGAAGACGTTATGAGCTCTGAAGCTTCAATAAGATTCTCTTCAAAACTTGTTCTAATGTGATGGCTTTGCTTTGCAGTGCAGCACTCCAACCCTGTAGGCCTCCAGGGAGGGTCCAAATAAATAAATCTTTTAAAAAATAAAATAAAATAAAAGTACAAAAAGATCTGTGGGCAGGATCTGTACAGTCCAATTTTTTTTTCTATAACCACGATCAAATTATTATTATTTGAGAGAGCAGAAAATTCTACTGTTTTTCTTCTTGCCTGCAGATTTTTTTTTTGTTTAACCTTTCTATGTTTAATGTACATGAATAGGCATATAATGAATGAACATTCACAGATCAAGTGAGCTAATATATGGAAGAGTTCTTAGTGTAGGACCTAGCCCAGTGTTTGTTAATTTTGAATCAAACTCTTGTTCATACACACATTACTTTCTTGGTGGGTTATAGAACAGAATTAAACCAACTGCTTCTCAAGTGTACATTTCCTACTGAGTCTTGAAAAGCTAATTGTTTTCTAATTTTGGGTCTTAGGACTTCTGGTAAAGCAACACCTCTCTTGAGGACATGATGGGGTTCCCCCTTTGAGAAGGACAACACACAGATCTTTGTGAAAATGCAAAACGATGCACAGTTTTTGACCCTATTATAAAAGAGCAGAGCTTCAGAATGGACCTCAGCTCCCCCCTTGCATCGAGGACCATTATTTCCACATCATGCCTACTTTGTTCTTTGCCCCGTGGATGAGGATGCCTATACCTGGTGGCGTTTTAGATACAAAGCAAGCCCAGTGCTTTCTAGTGGCTGTGCTATTTCTAGGTATATCTGGATACTACTTTTGAATGAAGTATTCTGAATTGTTTGAGTAAAATTTCTAAACAGAATTACTAATCCAGAATGAATTTTAGGATCCTGAATGTCAAAATAAGTTTAGTACTCTATAGAGAAATTTAAATTTGTTGTTAAAAAATTCCTCTTCATCTTGTGCTAGAGAGAATCAATGCAGACTGGGCTAGAGGCCCAGTCCTCTTAAGCTTACTGGATATAATTAACAATTTACCCGGATGAATATAATCTCTTGGGAGACAATTCAATTGCTTGCTATTTATTAGCCGAAACCAATTTACAATTTCTTTCCTTGGGTATAATACTTAAGAAGTTTCATTGCAGTAAACTCAAAAAGTGAGAGAAAATGTGCATCAGTTACCATTTTCACTGCTCTATTTCAAACACTTGAAATAGTAAATACAAAGAATCATCATTCAGTCTCTCTCAAATCTCGTATTAACCAATACAAAAAGAAAAAGTCACAAGTTGAATTTTGTGCGGAGTTAACATGATGCAATTGATGTTTATAGATCTGAGAATCAATTATTAATTTTCTTTCTTTCTTTTTTTAACAGAAAGAAGCCAGGACATATTATCAACCCTTTGAGGATACATCATAACAAACTTTCCCATTTTACCACTTCCTTGGGCAGGTAAGACCTTATTTACTCTCTAGTAGAAGTTAACTCACAATTGTGAAAAACAGTACCTTACATAACCATACCTTAAACATTTAAATGAATATCAGTGCATTTTGATAAGGCAGAATACACCTATGAATTCTATAGCACATTCATTTAGAATGGTTAAAGTAATACTTCATATTATTTACAACGATTTAATGGTCAAAAAAATGAAATGAACTTTTTGTGCCCTGAGGACTGAACTAAGCCTGTCCAGTTATAACTGGCAATGCCAATAATACTTGTTCTGCACTAACTACATGCCAGCATGGTCGTACATGACTTACTTCACATAAACTGGTCGATTTATTACTTGCAAAAATTCCATGACTCTGGAGACATTCCCGTTTTATAGGTTAGGGTGATGAAAGAGAGAGAGAGAGAGAGAGAGCGAGAGAGAGAGAGCACAGCTGGAGGAGTTCATCCAATACATGGTTGTGAGAACAAAGAGATTCTGGAAAGAACTGCAGTGAGAGAAATATCATATCATAATATGGTAGAAATGTCTAGCAAGCAGATTCTCCTATGTTGAGTGCCTTCTTTGAACTTAAAAAAAAAAAAAAAAAGCATATACAGGGCCCTCCCTGGTGGCGCAGCGGGTTAAAGCACAGCACAAAGAAACTTAAGCCACTTCCACATGAGTTCGATCCCCGCCTGCCCCGGAGGAGATCCACATGGGCAGACCTCTCCTGACCCGCCCGCTGCTCCCCTCAGCAGTGTACTTCGTCGATCTGCCTGTTCTGCTCCCCACTCGGTCTCTGGTGAATCCTCGCACCCTCCGCATCTCCGGCCTGTACCCCAGTTCTGTACGAATAAATAAATAAATAATATATATATATACATTTACTCAAAGAGCAATCAGACAACTATTCATTTTATGCTTGTACTTATTACTTTCTAGTTGCTGTATGAGTATACACACAAGTTTGTACATGAACTTAAAAAAGCATTTTCTTTTGTTTTACATATTTCTTTAAACTCAAAATTCCTGTGATAAATGTAGGATAATATAGAAAGATAACAAATGAATGATTTCTTATTGTGGGGAATGAAGAATATATTTTAATTTAATGTTTTTATTAGAAGTATTGAATACCCAATCTTAATTGGCCACAGCAAAATATACTTTATTGTTTCCTTATTATTTTATTTTTTTTAAAGATTTGTTTATTTATGCATACAAGAACTTGGGTGTATACCAGAGATGCAGGGTGGTGAGAGGATTCATTAGAGACAGAGTGGGGAGCAGAACAGGCATGTCACAATCTGTGCGTTCAGTGCTTTAAAGAAATACATGTATATGAAACAATATGCCACATGATTATTTACATTTAAAATATACATAATTGGAAGCATGCTATAAATACTCATTGCAGCTTGTCTTTGTAATCTAGCAATCTATTGATACCGATAAATGGAGATCTGGTTGGATCATTCTGACAATCATAAAGTTGACTATTTTTAACATTGCAAACATTTGGAGCTAAGTATTATTAAGTATTATTCTAAATAACCCTCAGCATTTTCAAGATTTAATACGCAAATGGCTTAAGCACGGCTTTGAAAGCATCTTTGGGATTTGCTTTTAAGAACCACATAGTACTTAATAATGATACCATGCCAATCCAGTTTATGTTTCATTTTTTTCTTATTAGAATAGCACTTTTTTATTGACTGTAGGGATCTTATTAACTAATGGGACTCATGAATTTCACTACTTTTGCCATAACACAGTAATTGCAATCTGTTTTATTTCCCCAGAGATGAAATACTGGTTATTCCCAAAGACAATGTAAATATTACTTTTGAAATTTAAAAGATACTTAAAGGAGTAACTGTTTTTGTTGACCCATTTTAATTGTTCAAATTCCTTCCTAAGATCATGGGAGACACTTTTAAAGAGGGATTTTCCCTTTTCTTCCCCTCCCCCCAGTACTACAGTTACTGTACAATGTTCAGATTTAAAGATAGAAACTTGCATAACTTTTTATTTTCTAAAGGAAATAAATTAGTACTTTGGCATAGTCGGGGGGGGGGGAAGAAGAGCTGAACTAATCTTTGCTGGGTGAGCATGAGTAAATGCAAGTTTTCTGTAAGCCTCCCAGATAAGAATTTCATTATAGTTATGCAGCTGGGGAGATTAAGGCTAACTTTCTGAAGTTCATATAGTGATTGCAGAGCCTGGATTCAAATTCAGCCCCTCAGACTACAATACTATGCTGCTACCAGAAATGGAGGTGAGAAAAACAAATTATTTGGCACAAAAATAATGGTTTCATTTATTCTACCAATATTTCTTTAGGATGCTTTTATGAGAATTGAGAGGACTGGTCTTAGAAAAGAAGGAAGATGCAGTATCAATCCAAAGAAAGTAAACAAAGATTGGGAATAGCAAAGTTTCCTTTGGTGAAATGAATGTGACTATTGAATCAGACATCTCAATTTTGCCATTTATCTTAATAGTGTTTACAGGGTGATTAACCACCTTTGTGATCAAAGAATCTTGCTAATTGGAATTAAACTGAATAAGATAATAGGAATGAAATGTTTGGAAATAACAAAATCCTTGCAATCTTTTGCAGCTATTAATTATTCTGTAAAATTTAGATTTGAGTATATCAAACATAAAACATATACTTCTAAGTGTAAAGATTGATATATCTCTGTGAAATTTAATATCAGCATCTCATTGTTACAAAAGCCCCATGCAAACACTATAGTCACACAGTTCTGATAATTGGTTTAGCACCAGCTTCCACCACCTATAAGAGCCATGCTATTTAATCCCCTCAAGACTCATAGCAGATACTAACAGTACCAAGCTGTGCCTGCTGGGAATTGGATCCTGTCATTATCTCTGCCTTTCTTTTGACTCCATGCTCTCTCCATTTGCTTGCTCTGACTCTTCTATATTCTCTACTATTCTATAATATGATCATTATAAATTGTAATAGATTTATGTAACTTATTCAAAATCCACAATAATTTTCCATAATGATCAGAATAAAATACAGTGATGTAAACAAATATTACCTCTATAAAAACTACTAATAATAAAAGACACAAAGATCAAAGGTAAGTAAATAAATTAAAACCCACATTTCACCTTTGTCAGCAGGTCTAATATAATCTAGCATCTTCTACCTCGCTGACATCATCTCAAGATCCATTTCTCTTGAGGGCAGAGATTGAGTTGTGTCTGGAACTCTGTTTCTATCTTGATGGTCTCTCCATTGTTGAAGGCAGAGGTACCCAAGAATTTCCAGGGGGTCTACATAATATCCTTAATGTGTGTCAGGGGTAGTTGTTACTTTCCAGGATTCTTTCAGCTTGCCTTAGAGGCCTTTGCTTCTGGAATGCTGAAGAGATTAGATTCCAGGCATCTTTTTAACACATGGTTTTATGACATTATGACTAAACTTATTTCTACTGATAAGTAATCTTTTCTCTTAATAGTAGTCCTAACTCCAAAGAGACAAGTTAGCTTATGTAAACGAAATGACCACTTAAGAGCAGATATTATTTTTTTATTCCATGACGTATGCTACCTAAATAATGCTGAGATATACTATAGGCTGATACTTTTTAGATTTTGTGTTATCTTCAAATATAAATGTATCTTTTATCATTTGTAGTTCATACATTGAGGTACCTTTCTGTAAAACAGGCCATTTTTTGGTTTGCTTTTTGTAATATTTCCTAGGAGTTGCACTTAAAAATGAGTGTTTATATTGTTGAGAACATTTGGCAAGAGACAGACCTCAGTAGGAACACAATACCCCAGTAGTTAAGGACAGTAGAGACCTGTTATTTTCACAATCTTCTCTGAACTGTGCTGATGACTGACTCACCAACATTCAGCTCCATTCCATGGCACTTTGTGAATAAGTTTAAAGTCAGATTAAACCTTCCAGAAATAAATTCTATTGGTAAATTAGAATATCAGATGTTCCCTTTAGGAAAGCCTATCCTTATCTGTACTATCAGCTGGTAGTCAGGCTCAGATCCCAAACTGTTCTGGCTCTTTATGAGCAAGAACCTGTTCCAGGGGTGAGATTTTGAAGAGGGATGTCTCTTGGTTAAATAGAGACAGAAAGGGAGAATTGCCCACATACTCTGGCAGGAGTTAAAATAACAATAACAGTCCTCCTACTTAACAGGCTGAGTCATAAGCACATTCTACTGATTTCTTTGCATTTCTGAGCAGATTGTTTGGGCTGGAATTCTGTAGGCAGAGGTGGGCACCACCTGCCACTGAAGGCTGTAGTTCTTGTTAGGTCGGTTCTGTTGTCAAGTCTTGTCTTTTAACAGTCGGCCAACTGCACATAGGAAAAGACAAAAATGTGCCTTTGATGAGCACTCTTTCTAATGCTGAGTAGAAAAGAATGAAGAATGGTCATTATGCCTTCAGTTATTTCTCTGGGCTTAAGCATAGTCATTTTAAAAGGGATGCTGACTGTGGGAGGTCTTAAAAGTCAAAGCTTGCCAAATGTTTGCTTTCAGAAAATTCTGTAGACCAGAATTAAAGCTCCAAATTAAAGACCCTTCAAAACCCTATGAAGCCATATCTGGGTGATCTCCAATACCAGCCTCCTATTCAGTCGCCTTCCTTCATTTTGTGGCAGTAGACCATTATTTCTCCCTAAACTTAACTATTTCTATTTGTAGGCCAAGTTTTTCTTTTTTTAATAGGTTTTTTTAAAATTTATTTATGCATACAAGAGCTGGGGTACAGGCCAGAAGTGCGGGAGGTTGAGAAGATTCACCATAGAGAGAGTGGGGAGCAGAACGGGCAGATTGATGAAGTACACTGCTGAGGGGAGCAGCAGGTGAGGCAGCAGAGGTCTGGGGCACCATGTGGGCCAGCTCCCTGGCCTGGGATCAAACTGGTGCTACAGGAGTTGCTAATAGCTTCATAGTGCTAAGACTTAACCCCTTGTACCACCTAGGAGTCCCTGTAGGACAAATTT